TCCCCAAATTTAATCTTCTTTCATGGATCATTGGATCCAATAATTGGGGTGGATAGTGATGATGATATTGAACTTGAACCATTTGAAAGTTGCTCATGAGCTGCAAGGTTACATTACAAAGGACTAGTTGAGCCAAATTGCAGCATGAGCAAGAAATATTAAAAGTACTGTGACAATTTTAATTAGATATCTTCTGGAATAATTATGACAAATATCAAGCTTTTAGATGGGTACAGCTTATTCAGTATTTTGCTTAATTTAAAATCTTATACATACACATATATACATATGTATGTACATGCTGCATCTCTTATTGTCCCCTTGGTTTCTTGGTCTGAGGCTAGGCTGTTACTTCTATTTATAAAAAATTGTAAATTCTTTACAAGTTCATATTTTTGTTCACATTTTCAATATAATGTAGGGTTCGATTCTTTCTTTCCTATTTACTCTTTGAAAAATATTTGTTTCTTTCAAACATATATATATATATGTATATATGCATGTTTAGCAGCCTAGAGTGTAACTTAACCAAAGAATCAAAAGGATAACATGGTACATGTGTGTATAAATACACATTATAGTTTACATTTTTTTGTCTACATAGCAGGTAAAATTTGGAGTATTTTTATGCAATTTATAGGTTTCACTTTTTGATTTAATTTCTTAACTACTTTTTTTTTTTTAAAAAAAAAAAGTTGTGTTAGTCGGTGTAATGACTCGTGTTTTCTGGAGAAATATAATATTTTTATAACCAAATACTTCATTTTCGACATCTAACAAAATACAGAATCTAAAAATAATTTTACGAAAGATTATTTTACTTACCGAAGAAGATAACATTTTAGAATTTGAAAAATTAAGTTTACCATAACTGTGGATGGAATAATTCTTATATGCTTTTGGGTCCCGTCATCGTCCTACCTGGTCTTCAACTTATTTTTTGATTTTTCTGTTTTGTAAGACATAAAAGAATGAGTTACAAATGTCCATTAAAAGGCGTTTAACAGATTAATTTACAATTGTATGTAGTACAAGTGTCTTCTTTACCTTACCCTTATTGAATCTACATATATATATATATATATATATATATATATATATATTTGAGCGTCTATTAAAATTTGTTAAAGACATTTATGTCTTTTTTTTCATGTTTCTTTTTATTATTTTTCATTTAGACTTGTCATTATAATAATTCGTATTTTACCATTAATAGGTAAAGTAGTATAAAGATGTTAACATTTTTAAATCTCCATTTTTACAACTCACATCATTGTTATCATTCAGCTTTTTTTTTAACTAGCACAGTAATATCAACTTTCTAAATTTTTCAATATACCTATCTAACTTCCATCCCTTTCATTTCTTTCCTCACAGGAGGACCATGGTTTTTCATCGTACAATATCGTTACATCATTATCATAAGAGAATAAAACAAATAACTTCATAACATGTAAACACAAATCATATACATATACATATCCATCAAAGAAAACCATACGATACTACCAACAGACGGGCCCACACTCGACATTTTGTTCACCTAATATGTACAATATATCATACAATATCACCTCCATATGCATTTACCAATGAAACCATACGATACTACTAGCAAACGAGACTACACTCGACCCTCTGTTCATATAATATGTATAACATATCATACAATATCACCTCTACATACATTTACCAATGAAAATTGTATGATACTACCGTGAGCTCACACTTGACCCTATGTTCACCTATTATGTACAACATATCATTCAATATCACCTCCATATACATTTATTAATGAAAACCGTACAATACTATCAACATATGGACTCACACTCGACCTTCTGTTCACCTAATATGTACAGCATATCATACAATATCATTTGCATACGCATTTACCAATAGAAACTGTACGATACTACCAACAAATCAGGTTTTCACTCGACCATAATGACTACACACGCATTTGCCCATCTGTTTACTAGTATAGTACAGTATATTACACGCTCTTTGAAACTGGTTTAACACTCGACCGTAACCGACCTCACACACCCACCCTTCCAAGAGCACAACAACTGTAGTCATACTTGTATCCGTACCACTACGAATATCAAGCTACTGAATTCACATTTATACACAAAACTGTCCATAGGACATGAACAATATCCATCACCATCAAACTCACCTCGACCAGAAATTCAATCACCCACACACCCTCTATGATAATTGATTAAACGATGTACCAAATCAAACTCATCACATAACAACTATTCCATACTTCTCATGTGTCACTTTTTATTCAACTTAATTTTCATAGCTTATCTAACTTTCCTTTTTATATTATTACACTGTATTATTTCTTATTTCTTCCCTTTTCTCATATTCTTTATTGTTTCTCGTTATTCTAAGATTTCTTTAAAATATAGGGTCATCGAGTTATCATCCTAATACAATTATATGTATATGTATATCCTCTCTTACCTATTTTCCTTAAAACTTTACCCATTTCTTATTTAATCGTTTGGGTTTACACTGCATTTTTAGGGTGCTATTTAGAAGTACATATATCTTTGTTGAGATTGGTTCTTTCCCCATAATTCTAAGTGTTCTTCAAGTTTCACCTTAATCAATTCATCCCTTCCACTTCGGGACTTGCATTGACCCATTCTAATTCTTTACTTACGTGTCTCTGCTATCTTTAGATTTTCACTGTTTGGCCCATCCTTCATATCACTCTTAGATTTTAATCATGGCCGGCCAAATGACTACAGGATCATCGGCCTACTCTAACCTCAATTCACCATTTCGAACTTCACACAGAGGTTTTTCCGTAGCAGCTCCTTCTACCTATACCGCAGTTTGCAGCACCTAAAGGAGAATTTGGTGTCTTTCTGGTCAGTAATGGAAGCAATCCTCCCTACCGTCGTAAAATAAGAGCACCTGGTTCGACCCATTCACAAGGACTCGATTCTATGTCCAAACATCACATGCCAGTAGATGTGGTCACCATCATAGGTACTCAAGATATTGTGTTCGGAGAGGTGGATAGAGAAGGACTACACAGGCCCATGTAGGTGTTTTCTTACTTGTAGCTTTTCTGGGTTTTGGCTCGTTTGTGATTTGAGTAAGGCCCAAATATTTTGCCCAGACTCGGCCCACTTGAACTGTGCATCTTCCCTACCAACTCCTAACCCTAGATTCACCGACACCATGGCAACCTTCCAGATCTCGAATCATTTTGAGCATTTACGTTATTCATTATATTCAAATATAGCGATTTCTAATCATTCCTTTCTGGTAGTTCTAGACTAGTTATACAACAGATTAGTTATACAATCGCAGTTAGGTTAAAAAAGTTAGATGAATCTTACATCCCGGCGATATGAGTCGCGGCTACGACTTTGAAACTCTTCGACGCAACCCGCACCGCATTCCAAAACCATATACGTTTTTCTTTTAACGAGAATTTTGCAGAAGAAAGAATTAGTGGCGGATGCGATATGAGTCGCGACGACGACGTTGAAACTCTTCGTCGTAACCTGCACCGCATTCCAAAACCATATACGTTTTTCTTTTAACGAGAATTTTGCAGAAGAAGGAATTAGTGGCGGACGCGATATGAGTCGCGACGACGACGTTGAAACTCTTCGACGTAACCTGCACATTCCAAAACCATATACGTTTTTCTTTTAACAAGAATCTTGCAGAAGAAGGAATTAATGGCGGATTCTTGATTTAGGCTTACATCCGAAAAAGATTCTCATCGCGACTTACCCTAATCACGACGGCATGTGCGAACGTCGGAAAGCTTCTAATCTCTGCTCC